TCATCTGAAATATCATTGGCATTTCCCTGAGGCCATGCCTGTCAGGGCACCAGTTGGTGTACGAGTCACTGCGTGTCAGTCACTGCGTGTCGGTGGATCGTGGCATGTCTGTGAGAGAGTGGGCGTGTGTGTGTGTGTGTGTGTGTGTGTGTGTGTGTGTGTGTGTGTCCCTGTCGGCGGGTCACCCTGTCACCCGCTCTCCACGTGGGTCAGGGTGTGTGAGGAGTGTGTCTCAGCCGATCCTGCTCCTCGCCAAGGCGCTTCAGCACCACGGACAGCTCCAGCCCCCGCCTGAGTGGGGGCCGGCGATTCTTTGCACCCACAGAAAAGTGAAAATAGGCTGAGAGCAGGAGAGGGTGGCGGTGGGCGGACGTCCCCACATGACCGCTTTGTGTGTGTCTGTCTTTGCATAGGTGTCACTGTGACTTGTGCACTTGTGTGTTGAGATGGGTCTGTTGTGTTGAGATGGGCCTGTGGAGACCCCTTTGCTTGAGTTGTGTTGAGGTGGCTGTTCCACTCTGTGAACACGGAGAGCCAGACAGACAGAGAACAGATAAAGAAAGGCAGACGGCTGGGGAGAGACTGAGGCAGAGAAGGTCACAGCCAGAGACAGGGACGGAGAGACGGAGAGACAGAGAGGTGGAGACAGAGGGAGGCTGAGAGATGAGCAGAGAGACAGGGAGATTGAAAGAGATGCCGAGATGCAGAGAGAGAGAGAGAGAGGAGAGAGAGGCATTGAAGGGAATAAAAATAAACAGAACCAAAAGGCAAAACCAGCGAGGTCTGCGGGAGGAGAGGCTGCCTGGTAACACCAGGGTCTGTAGGTTGGCCCTGTCGCCCGGCTGTGGTGGGGGCGTCGTGTTCACGGGCATCTGGTCCCCGCGACTTGGCCGCTTGCACAGGGAATGGCTGCGGGTGCGGTGATGTGCGGATGGGGGCGGTGTGATTGGCTGTGCTTCCTCTCTGGGTGGCTGTGTGGGCCGGTGTTTGTGTGCCTGGGTTCTGGGGCCGGGCCTTGTGGTTCCTGCCGCCGAAAGCGCTGCCAGTGCAGCATGTGGGCTTTCTGGGGTTGTGGGTCTCTGTGGCAGAGGGGTGGGTTGTGTGCCTGGAGGGGAGGGATAACGTCTGTCCGTCCGTTCCTCCCCTGCCACACCCCGTTACCATAGCAGCGGGGAGCCGAGGGAGTCACTGAGCGCTCGGTTAGCCTCCAGATGTGTACAGGACAGAGGGCAGGCAGCTGGCGGTCTCTTGGGCCGAAGGGTTCGAGTTAGCAGAGGCCTGTGGAAGGTGCCCTGCCCTAGGCGCTGGGGAGCCAGCAGGGAATGTAAATGCACACGGGTCACGGCCCTGGGGGAAGTTGCCTTTTAATGCCAGGAGGCAGGTGGCAAAGAATAAACCAAATAAGTGCACACACTAGCCTAGATGGTGTGTTAGAACAAAGACGACAGAACACAGAAGGGGTTAGGGATGCTGGGGGGCGGGCAGGGGCGGCCCTGCCCTAGGCGCTGGGGAGCCAGCAGGGAATGTAAATGCACACGGGTCACGGCCCTGGGGGAAGTTGCCTTTTAATGCCAGGAGGCAGGTGGCAAAGAATAAACCAAATAAGTGCACACACTAGCCTAGATGGTGTTAGAACAAAGACAACAGAACACAGAAAGGGTTAGGGATGCTGGGGGGCGGGCAGGGGCAGATTTCAGTATTAAAGGAGGTGGTGAGAATGGGCCTCATTGAAAAAGAAGGTGGACCCTGGCCCGCATGGCTCCGTGGTTGAGCGTTGACCTATGAACACAAGGAGGTCACGGTTCGATTCCCGGTCAGGGCACATGCCTGGCTGCGGGCTCCATCCCCAGTGTGGGGCGTGCAGGAGGCTGCCAGTCAATGACTCTCTCTCATCATTGATGTTTCTCTCTCGCTCGCTCCCCTTCCCCTCTGAAATCAATAAAAAAAATTAAAAAAGAAAAAGAAACAGGTGGAGTTTGAGAACTAGAGGAGTGAGGGCGTGAGCTGGAGGAACAGTGTTCTCGGTGGGAGGAACAGCCATGTAAAGGCCTTGAGGCTGGTTGTTCCAGGGACAGTGAGGAGGCCAGTGTAGCCGGGGTGAGTGAGCAAGGGTAGGGGGCGCGAGGCCAGAAAGGGAACCAGGGCCACATGGCACAGGGCCTTGCGGGCCACGCGGACCCTGGCCTGGATCCCGGCTGAGAGGGGAACCGCCTGAATGCCCCGAGCAGAGGAAGGACCAGATGTAACGTGGGTCGTATCGGGATCCCTCGGGATGCTCTTTAATAAGCCTCAGCTTCCTCGGCGGCTTCTGGCTTGTGCCTGTCACATGGGGATAGTAAGAGAAAGAGAGAGCCTTCCTCTGAGGATGGCTGTAGGACTTAAGGAGGTGACGGGACCCGGGACGGAGCGGGGCTCAAGGAACGGGGTGGCTGGAGGGAAGTTATCGGTGGCTCAGGGGAGGGGCCTCATGCCCCGTGTCCTGCTTCGCCCGCCCAGGAAAACTCTTCAGGTGAAGATAGTGGATGACGAGGAATATGAGAAAAAGGATAATTTCTTCATCGAGCTGGGCCAGCCGCAGTGGCTTAAGCGAGGGATCTCAGGTGAGGGCTGAGGGGTGGGCTGTGGGAGAGATGAAGGGTCCAGGGTGCGGGGGCCTTGGGGGGTCCACTGTGGGTGCTCCTTCAAACTCATGGATCTGAGCTTCCCAGGGAAGCGATCTCACTTTCTCTCTGTCTGTCTCTCCCCAGCTCTGCTGCTCAATCAAGGTGAGTGGAGTTTCCCTCCTGGCTTTACTAGAAAGGGGGGCTCTGGAGGGGGCGTCAGGGAGGGTCAGGGCCTCAAGCTGCTCTTCCAGGTCAGGTTTGAGGCAGGGTGAAGGTGAGATTCAAGGAGACTTGGGCGAGGGATGGAGCTGGCTTAGAGTTGGTAGGGCCAGTTGAATTTGGGGTTATAGCCTGGGGTTCAGAGGCCGAGATTGTTTTGTTTGTAGTTAAAGTCGGGGGTGGGGTGTAAGTCATAGAATCCAAACTGGGTCTGCGGTGAGGTCAGAGGGAGTCAGGCTTGGGGTTAATTAGGACTGGGGTGGACTTAGGATTTGAGATGAAGATTAGGATTTGGTCAAAGTTAGAGTTCAGATGGAAGCTGGTGTTTAGATTTGTGAGTAAAATTAGGGTCAGGGTCCGAGACTGGGGTGAGAGTTGAGGCTATAGGGTCAGTGACTTGGAGATAGTGAGAGAATAGAATTGGTGTTTGGGGTTATGGTTAAGACTGGACAAAAGATTGTAATAGTCAGGGTAAGTAATACACGCTGCTGTAACAAATAGGCCCAAATCCCAGGAGATGAGCACAAAAGTCATTTCTTGCTCAGGCAATGTTTCCTGAGAGTGTAGCTGCCTGGTGGGTGGCTTTCTTCAGAGAGTTAGGGTTGGTGCTGGGCTTGGAGCAAAGGCTCAACATACTTTAGGGTGATAAACGAATTCAGGGCCAGCTATAGGGGTCTAGGTCCAAGATTTGTACTGAATTGGGTCACCCCTCTTTTTGCACTCCCTCAGTCATACTCTAGGATGTTTTCAGAGCTTCGATATAGAGACCAGTCCTCTTCCCTCAAGAGTTGTGATGATGTCAGTGATAATAATAAAGAAAGTAGCTTTTCTGACTATCATGTGCCAAGCACTGTTTTAAACACTTAACATGAATTAATTCTTTTAATTCTTGCAATTACCTTATAAGGGAGGTATTATTATTGTGTCCATTATATAGATATGAACACTGAGGCACAGAGAGGCTAAAGCATTGCCCAAGGCCACACAGTGGAACCTCATAGGAACCTCAGAGCCCATCAACTGAACCTTGTGGATCAGCCATGGGAGCTGGGGTGGGAGCTGGGGAAGATGATGGTCAGGCTGGAGGGGTGTCACCAGGTGGCTTTCCAGAGGTCACAGACAGTGAAGGCATTACAGGCCCAATTAGCGAGGCCTCCCTGGAGTCTAACCCCCATCCCTCATGCTGCAGGGGACGGGGACAGGAAGCTGACAGCGGAGGAGGAGGAGGCTCGGAGGATAGCAGAGATGGGCAAGCCGGTTCTTGGGGAAAACTGCCGGCTGGAGGTCATCATTGAAGAGTCGTATGACTTTAAGGTGATTTTCTGGGGCCTCCCTATCTTGGGGTTTTGCTTGAGTTGTTTCCGTGGAGAGAGTCTAAGAGGAGATCAACTATGAGGGTCACAGAGAGGGGCAACCAAGGGTCCAGAGCCACCCTCCAGGTCCCTCATTAGCACCACGGACAGCACACGCCCCCCTTTTCCCTTTTGCTAGTAGCCCTGGGGTATGGAAGGTTGGGGGCCCCTGAGCATGGGGTGTGGGCCCCCAACCCCAGACCCCTTCATGGGGCAGTCTTGGGTGATCGCGGACAACAATCTCTTTCCCACCCCTTCATCCCCAGAACACAGTGGATAAACTCATCAAGAAAACGAACTTGGCTTTGGTGATTGGCACCCATTCATGGAGGGAGCAGTTTTTAGAGGCAATTACGGTGAGCGCAGGTAAGTGGGGAGGGAGGAGAGAGAGACAGAAGAGGGAGGGGCGGGCAGATGAAAGAGAGACAAGGAGAGAAAGACAGAGAGATAGAGAAAGAAAAGAACAGGAAAAACACTGAGAGGGACAGACAAAGAGAAAAGGAAAGAAACAGGTACAGGAAGACAACAGAAAAGATGGAGATCGGAGACCAACAAGACAGACAGGCACACAAAGAGACTCACGGGAGAAAGACAGAGGCGGAGGAAATGGGACCTAGAGAGTGAAGTCGGTAAACTGCAGGGGGCCAGGGAGGGGCAGATAGACCCAGAGAGAAAGGCGGACAGAGACGGAGGGGGCAGGAGGAGTCTGCCCAGGCTTTCCTGCGGAGATTGGAGGGTGGAAACAGGTTAAAAGGCCTGCCCGCCCCAGATAGAGCCTGGGCTCCTCTGTTGCCATGGAGACAGTCACCACAGCACCCAGCTGCACCCCCCTGTAAGGTGTCCACCCTCCTTAGGCCTCAGACGGTTTCCGACTGCCCCCCTGTGGCCAGAGACACTATGACACTCGGATCACAGTCTGGGGTACACACTGGGGAAACAGACCCAGAGACAGAGGTAGGCCTGGCCTGAAGCCCCCCGGGAATCCAGAAAGAGCTGCAGTGGGGCTCGGGGCTCTGTCCCCTGCACAGCATCCGTTTCCCTCCCAGGAGGCCTATCCAGTGGGAACCGAAACAGAACTGTGGTTGGAAAGACACTGGTCAGAGGTGGGACCCCCAGACGCCGGGCTTCGGGGATAGGAAAGCAACACGCAGCAGCCAAGAGACAGCAGATGGGAGACCTAATAGGAACGAGATGGTGTCTCCCCCCAAGGCCACATCCTCTGACATCTCCTTCAGAGGCAAATAGGAGTGTGTCCTCCATGCTCTGGCCTTCGCCGTGTCTCCCTGTGGTCAGTGAGGGGTGCGCTCCGTGGCAAGTCACAGAAAACGCGACCACAGGTGGCGTAAGCGCACGAGTTTATTTTTCTCACGGGAGGAAAGAAATCTGCAGGAGGCAAGTTAGCAGCAGCTTAATAATGTCATTACATCCCCAGGCCACGTCCTTATTTCTCAGCTTTTGCTTCGTGGTTGCAGAATGGCTGCTGCCCTTCCAGGTGTCGAGCCTGTATTCCAGGCAGGAAGAGAGGGAGCAGGGGAGCAGGAAGGGGCAGCAGGCCTGTGGCGTTTGAGTTTCCAATTCCACTTAACTTGGGGTCACAGCAGAAACCTCCCTCTTTGAGATGGAACATGCAGAACCCCCAAACCCCCACACAACCACTTACTGAAGCATCTACAAATTCAATCATTTATTTTCTTCACAAGGCAAGTGACTGAAAGTGGGGAAGGAATAATTGACCCGAATCCCCGAGCCCGTCCAGCTCTCATGGCCCCCACTGCCCCCGGGCAGCCTCTGCAGCTGACGTTCTGCGGAGCCCCTGGGCTGCACCACGGGAAGTGGCTTCATAATTTGGTGGCCACCTGCCTTTTATCCCCGACGTGTTCTGAGTGACCGGTCAGGGGTCACGGGGTCTCTTAGCAGCAGCCTTCCAGATGTTGGGTTGGCACACTCGTGTGCTCCTTGCTCTTCATTCATTGCTTTGCGCTTGTGAGTTTAGGGCGAGGCAGACAAATTGTCATTTGTGCCTTCTCATCACACAAGTCACTGCAGGTCAAAAGCGGGTCGGTTTTGGTCGCAATAGCTGACACAGACGACTCTAAGAATGACGGGCCCTTCACAAGGCTCAGAAGACACATCCACAACACCCCGCCCCTATCAGGAAAACTAGGTATTTCCAGGAACCCTCTGTTTAGGCCTCATTGCCAGACGGGTCTCATGGCCACTGCTGCAAGGGAGTCTGGGAAAGCCAGTATTTAGCTTAGGACTACTAGCTGCAAGGAATTTGGGTAACATGAATATTTTCACCTGAGGACATGGCCATTGCTAGCCTTAAGGGATTCTGGGAGAGTGACTGGTAGCTGGATACATGGCTCTCTCTACCTGCAAGGGACTTTGGGAAATCAAGCGTGTGGCTACTGTCAGCTGCAATGAGTCGAAGGAACTGAACACTTCTTCCTGCAGAATATGTCTACCTGTGAATGTTTCTACATGGCTTTCAGTAGCTGTAAAGGGATGTGGCCGCCCCTAGCAGCAAGGGATCCTGGGAAACTGGATATTTTCAAATGGGCATTCGGCCTCCTGAAACTTAGAGGGATTCTGGGAAAGTAAATATTTTCACCTGGGCCTAACATTTTCCTAGCTGCAAGGGATTCTGGGAAGCTGGATATTTTCAACTGGGCATTCGGCCTCCTGAAACTTAGAGGGATTCTGGGAAAGTAAATATTTTCACCTGGGCCTAAGTTCTCCTAGCTGCAAGGGATCCTGGGAAAGTATTGTTCTTAGCTGCTGACATGGACACACCTAGCTGCAAGGGATCCTGGGAAAGTGATTCGTTTTATGGGACTGGCTGTCCGGACGTTGAATGGAGTGGGGCTGCAGGCGAGGAAGGGGGCATGGGTGTGTGCCCCAGCTGGGTCGTGTGCCCACAGGGGACGAGGAGGAGGAGGAGGACGGGTCCCGGGAGGAGCGGCTGCCTTCGTGCTTTGACTACGTCATGCACTTCCTGACGGTGTTCTGGAAGGTGCTGTTCGCCTGCGTGCCCCCCACGGAGTACTGCCACGGCTGGGCCTGCTTCGGCGTCTGCATCCTGGTCATCGGCCTGCTCACCGCCCTCATCGGCGACCTTGCCTCCCACTTTGGCTGCACCGTGGGCCTCAAGGACTCCGTCAACGCTGTGGTCTTCGTGGCCCTGGGCACCTCCATCCCCGGTAACCCCCTGGGGACCACCAGCGGGCTGGGGTCTGGGAGAGGCCAGGCAGTGAGGCCTCAGAGAAGGGTCCTGCAGAAATGAGCCAATAGGATCGCCCAGAACGCATGTGGGGGGTCCCAGAGGAGTATCCTGGTGGATAATAGAGACAGGTGGGGGGCCCATAGATTCACTGTGAGTGGAGTCCCCAAAGCAACCAGGGGGAGTGCCCCACCAGGTGGAACTCAGGAGGTGGGAAATGCTAGAAGCCTGAGGATAGATTCCATAGAAGCAGGACGTTAGTTTCCCCTTCTCTCCCCTGCCCCCGCCAAGAACCAGATAGAACTCTGTTGCTGGGCATGAGAGGAACCAGGCCAGTGAGTTTTGAAGCTTTCCCAAAGATGAGGGAGCCGAGTAGAAACCAGAGGCTGAAGGCGGGGGTGCCATACAAATAAGATGGTGGTGTTTCAGAGACCATCGCTTATGTCCCATTAAAACGCGGTGGCCACCATCCCCTCTTCCCAAATAAACCCGAGCGAGAGTCCCTTCAACACGGGGTGTCAGAGCCTCAAGTTCCTGCAGGAGGAGGGAGGCCCGGTGGGTGGGGAGGCCGAAACCTCGGTTTCCACGTCGCTGTGGTCACCAGCCAGGTGGTGGCGCTGTCCTTGGGGAAGGTTGGCCTTTCCAAGCCTGCCCTCCTGACCACAGGCCTGAGTTGTGAGCCAGACCTTCAGGAGTGGGTGGGGCCGCAGAGGCCAGGCCCCTGCTTGACAGAAACCACGTGGGGAGCGGACAGGAAAGGGGTTGCACCGGGTGGAGTCTGGCACTGACCTGACCCGGCCTGGTGGCAACGAGCCGATTGGGCCCGTGGAAAGCAGGCAGCAGGCTCCGTAGGGTGCAGAGCGGATCCCACGAAAATCAGGCAGCGAGTCCCTCAAAGCAGGCTGCGTCTCACAGGAAGCGGGCACCGGGTCCCACAGGAAGAGACAACGGGTCCCACAGAAAGCAGGCAGAGGCCCGGCCGGCGTGCCTCCGTGGTTGAGCATTAACCTTTGAACCAGGAGCTCACGGTTCCATGCCAGGTCAGGGCACAGGCCCGGGTTGTGGGCTTGCTCCCCAGTGGGGGAGCGTGCAGGAGGCAGCCGGTCCATGATTCTCTCATCACTGATGCTTCCATCTCTCTCTCCCTCTCCCTTCCCCTCTGAAATCAATAAAAAAAAAAATTTTTTTTTTAAAAAGAAAGAAAGCAGGCAGTGGATCCCAGTGAATGTAGGCAAGTCCCCATAGAAAGCAGGAAGCGAGTCCCAGGGAAATCGGGCAGCGAGTTCTACAGAAGCAGGCGGTTAGTCCTGCAGAGCAGGCATAGGGATGGCGACAGACGTTCCGGCTCGGGTGGGATCAGGGCCTCGTGCCCTTGCCTACCACAGGGCGGAGGGGGAGGCGGGGCCTGCGCCAGCCGGGCCTGGGTCACGGGGTCACCCAGGGGCACAGGAA